GGAGGGAAGGAGGGGCGAGGCGGGGGAGGCCGCCTTCCAGCAGTAGATAGATCATGGCTGTTTCTTCTGCTGTTGCTGCTGGTGACCTGAGATGGTGAATGCAAGCCCCTCTAGACACGCAAACATCACCACGTTCATCATCATCACCATCGTTGTCGAAACGATCACGAACTTCGCGTGTTTATCTAGCGAGTCAGTCTGCCACACTTCGGTAAATATTGCACACGGGTCAAGTAAGGGCTCCTTCTGACCCGTGGTGTTGATGATGGAGCAAAGTAAGACATTTGACCCTTTTTTAAACTATGCCAGGCTAGGTCAAAAAACGACGAAATTCGAGTTGCGTTCCTGGCTAGGGTAGCCACGGGCACCATTGGCCCTCGTCTCTCTGTTTTGAAAGCGTTTCGCGTTGAAAACACCGAGATCTGTCTGCAGCCGGGTAAAGGATGCCGACAGAAGCCCTCACCTTGTGTTGACATGCCTCATCTAAATCGTAACGCGCACACGCCACGGGTTTGGCATTCGAACGCGAGTGTATAAACACGCCGCATTTATATTGCGGGAAGCGGTGGCCCACCTGGGTGCGATTCCCCGGCCCTGGACGACGTCAGTTGTAACCAAACCGGTCCTGGGGCCTCTCCTAGCTCGACTTGGCCGTACATGAGCACAAAGTCGTGTCTGTGTGTACGTGCAATCATCTATATGGGGAGCGGTAGTGTAGCGGTTAGCACGCTGTGCTACCAATACGTGGACCCACGTTCGATTCCCGCTTATGGCCAACACCAGTGACGATTTTCTGAACTGGTCCTGGGGCCTCCTCTAGGTCGACTCAGCCTCAAATGAGATCCTGGTGCGGTGTGTAAAAACATCTTCACTGGGAGACAAAGGCGGTGGGGCCACCCACCCCCTGGTGTGCCGTACCGGCCTTCATAGGTGCTCCCTAACAGCACTTGCCTCAACAGTCTGTTGAAGGCTATACGGGGGATCTTTGTCTTTGTGCAAACATCAGAACGTCGGCCCAGGTGTGGTGCCGAGCACCCGACGATACGACGGGCAGCTAACGCCATCGATCGGAGGCACCAATGTGACTGTCACGGAGAGGATGCAGACTCACGCTGGACGCACCGCGGCGGCAAGGGATGGCGGTCGAGGGACGCGCCCAGTGGAAGAATGGCAGCCAAAGGAGGGAGAGAACACGCCACGGGAGACACGGCCTCCTCAAGAGATGGAGCGATGGAATCGGCTCCACGCGCTGGGGCGAGACGAATTGCGGCATCGCAAGGAGGTAACCTCGGCTCTGAATTATTTCCGACGATGTGTGACACAAGGCCCTGCTGCTGACCTACAAGGCACCCGGTGGGTTAGCCCCGCAAATATGTACAGGAAATGATCCGTCTCGCTACAGCAACGATGTCCGCGAGACCTCGTTAGCGTTCGGAGGTCAAGGCTCGTTTCCTGGGGCGATCATCGGGCTTTTGCCACTGGGCAGCTCCCACACTTTGTAACGCTGTCTTAGACTGGCCTTTACCCTGTAGCTGTGGCCGTTTACCCTGCAGGTTCTGTTCATGTCCTGCTTTCCCTACGCGCTGGCGAAGCAGTGGGATCTACGGATGAAATGCGGCACTTGACAAATGTAAATTATGATTGTTGTTATTCTGCTTGTGCATGCTGTTATTTGCCAATTGTACAACACAGCGACGCATAGCACGGCGGCTGTGGCGGCGACGCTCCTGCTGCTGCACGCAGCTGCCTGGAATCCAGCACCGCAGAGGAGTCAGCGGCAAGGGTTGGTGGATCACCGCAGCAGACATCACGAGACTCCATTTCCCGTCGGCGTCGGGAGGGTGCCCATAACGCCCTGACTTGCTAATAGACAGCATGGGAGGGGGAGGGGGGTGGGCGGAGGGCGGATGGGCTTCATCCAGTAGTGGGTACATCATGGCTTCATTCAGCCGGTCAACAGCTGATGATGCTTATTGACGACCATGATGATGATGATAAGACTTCATCAGCCTGCAAACCCTTCTACTTACTTCATCTGTAAACTCTTCCACCGCTTTGCTCAATCGGGCGGTCGCTCACCCGTGGATGTAGGCGTCCAATGTACGAATGCAGAGCACTGCGCCGTACAAAGCTCCAGGTTCAAGACGTGCGTGGTTGTCGTCGGCGTGGTTTGCTGCGTACGCCGCCAACCGAACAAACGCCCCGGGTCACTCTTGCAAATGTGCGACGTCCCATCTCGGCGGATTACCCGGGTTTAAATGTTTGAATGAGTTTTAATCGTTTGAACAACAAACAAACAAACACACACACAAAAAAACGTTCGGGCAGAAAAAAATCTGGTGAATGTTCGTGGGATGTTTTGGCCGCTACCGATTCCTCTACGGCTGAGACGTCGCCCGAAGCGACCTTTGACCCCCTGAGTGGAGAAGGGGCTTTCGTCATGTGTCAAATCTTTTTTTTATCAGACTCAACAATGCTTCGCGGCCGTGGTGCTGGCGGTCGTGGTGAGCGTGTGCGTTTTTTTGTTTAACCCGCGGGTGGGTAAGGTACGTAGCCATATAAAACAACAACAACAACAGATGTGGGGCCAGCCACAGACTCGGCACTGTCAGAAAGGAGCAGCGCGTTGAAGTTTTGGCAACTGCTGTGCTGGTGGTTTTGTTGTTGTTGTTGTTGTGTGTGAAACGTCGAACTTCGCTCGTTGGCTCTGTGTTGAAGACTGTGTCTGGCTGACACTGACTGTGTCGTCTCATTCACCACCCTGTGATCATCCACCACCACCACCACCACCCTGTGATCAACCACCACCACACTGTGATCCACCACCACCACCACCACCACGCTGTGATCAACCACCACCACACTGTGATCAACCACCACCATCACCACCACCACCACCACGCTGTGATCAACCACCACCACACTGTGATCAACCACCACCACCATGCAAGTAACATGGACACTAACTCACCTACTCACCCACTCACAAAAACAACAAAGACAAAGATCCCCCGTATAGCCTTACCAGACTGATGGGGCAAGTGCTGTTCACAAGCTACGCAGGCCGGAACGGCACACGAGGGGGTGGGTGGCCCGGACCACGCCCGACCGCCTTTGTTTCCCTAGCGGTGATGTATACACACCGCACCAGGTACCCATTCGATGCAGAGTCGAACCAGGGGAGGCCCAGGACCGGTCCAAATAATCGTAAGCGGTGTTGGCCGTGAGCGGTGAATTGAACCTGGGTCGCCGGGTTCATAACGCAGCGTAGCGCTAACCGCTCCACCACCGCTCACCCACTCACACCCACTCATTGACCTTACTCAGCCACTAACTCACCAACACATCAACCACCACCAAGACTGCAAGTCACAACGACAGGGACAAAGATTCCCCGTATAGCCTCGACAGACTGTTGGGGCAAGTGCTGTTGGCGAGGAGCACCTTATGAACGTCACGACAAGACTCACCCAACTCGCTCACGCCCGCTCAATCGCCCACTTACTCACCCGCACACACACATCCACACACACATCCACAAACACACATCCACACACACACATACATCCACACACACACATCCACACACACACACACATACACACACACATCCACACACACACACATCCACACACACACACATCCACACACACACACACATCCACACACACACACATCCACACACACACACATCCACACACACACACACATCCACACACACACAACATCGCTTATAGACGAAGGCGCAGAGCATCTTAGCAAGCCGCCGGCCATGGTGGGTGGTGATGGTGATGATGATGTTGAAGTTGATGGTGGTGATGATGTTGAAGTTGATGGTGGTGATGTTGGTTGTGATGGTGAGTGATGGTGGTGATGCTGGTGGTGTTGGTGATGCTGGTGATGTTGAGGTTGATAGTGGTGGTGATGTTGGTTGTGATGATGGTGGGTGGTGGTGGTGCTGATGATGGTGGGTGATGATGGTCGCGATGCCCACGAAGCGTAGCAAGGTGACCAGGAGGGAGGACACGGGGGGGGGGTCCGAGTGGACCGCAGTTGCTGGCGAGGAGCCGTGGGATGAAGGGGCTGGGGGTGAAGGGGCGAGGGGTGAAGGGGCTGGGGGGTGAAGGGTATGAAGGGGCTGGGGGGGTGAAGGGGCTGGGGGGTGAAGGGGCTGGGGGTGAAGGGGATGAAGGGGCTGGGGGTGAAGGGGCTGGGGGTGAAGGGGCTGGGGTATGACGGGGCTGAAGGGGCTGGGGGGTGAAGGGGCTGGGGGGTGAAGGGGCTGGGGGTGAAGGGGCTGGGGTATGAAGGGGCTGGGGATGAAGGGGCTGGGGGTGAAGGGGATGAAGGGGCTGGGGGGTGAAGGGGCTGGGGATGAAGGGGCTGGGGGTGAAGGGGATGAAGGGGCTGGGGGGTGAAGGGGCTGGGGATGAAGGGGCTGGGGATGAAGGGGCTGGGGATGAAGGGGCTGGGGGTGAAGGGGCTGGGGATGAAGGGGCTGGGGGTGAAGGGGCTGGGGATGAAGGGGCTGGGGGTGAAGGGGATGAAGGGGCTGGGGGTAAAGGGGCTGGGGGTGAAGGGGCTGGGGGTGAAGGGGCTGGGGGGTGAAGGGGCTGGGGATGAAGGGGCTGGGGGTGAAGGGGCTGGGGGTGAAGGGGATGAAGGGGCTGGGGGTGAAGGGGCTGGGGATGAAGGGGCTGGGGATGAAGGGGATGAAGGGGCTGGGGGTGAAGGGGCTGGGGGTGAAGGGGCTGGGGTATGAAGGGGATGGGGTATGAAGGGGTTACCGCGCGGCACTTTACGTGCCTTTAACAAGCAGTTGGCTGTTCAACTTTTCCCGTGGCCACGGCAGGGGTACGAACCGCAGTAGCGGCGCGTGTTTGGCCCGCGGGCTGCGTCGATTCCCCCCACACCCCACCACCTGCACCACCACCACCAACCCAGATGCACTCCGCGCGCGTGCGTCTCGCGGTGTCACGCGCCTGAGACACTCCACTCACCTTTGTACCTGCGCCGTTCCACGTGTACCTTGTCGCTCTCTCTCTCCAGTCTGTACTCTTGATGCTGCTGCTGCTGATATACTTTCACGCACTAACACCGTATCCCGTTCTCATATCGGGCCGTCGCTTCCTTCCTCTGCCAGGCGCGCCTGTAGCGCCGCACCGCGAGTCTGTCCATACGGTGTGCGGGGGGGAGTGGTGGTGGTGGTGGTGATGATGATGCTGATGAGGCAGACGATGTCTCCACGTTGGCAGTGACAGCGGAAAGACGAAACGGAGCGTTGCAGAACACGGACACTGTGCAGCCGCACGCTGGCAATCTGTCTGTCTGTGTATCCGCTCGTGCGACCACCCGCGGTGTCTATCTACGTGTGTCTGTGTGTCTGTGTGTGCCCGTGTGTGCCTGCGATCGGCAATTACGATCACTTGTACAAGTGGCGGGGTGTGGACGCGTGGTTGGTGGTGGAGGAGGGGGTGGGTGGTAGAGAGAGCAAGGGATGAGATAAGGACTCTCGTCGTGACGTCAACACCCCCCACCCCCACCCACCTCACCCCCACCCACCCTCGTCCTCTCAGGCTCGAGTCGGGGTTGGAGAGGTCCCCGCTGCCTCCTCCTCCTCCTCCTCAATTCGCGTTCTTCGCGGGGGAGGGCACACGGGGCGCCTCATCCACGACGCCACTGCCGTCCACTCAGTAGCAGCAGCAGCAGCTGTGTTCAATCCACTGCTCGATCAAAACTAAAATATTTGTTTTTACCAGGTAAGGTCCCACTGAGCTGTGGACTGTGTGGGTCTATATATTTTTTTTCGCAAGCGACATGGCCCACAAATGATGGCTCAACGAAGTTGGCTTATCGTCGCGTGGACATTGATAGCAGCAGCCACGTAGTTTAGACGCACGTGGAGGGATGGGAACCAAGCGACTACGGGGAGAGAAAGCGAGAGACACGCAAACTCAAAGTATACAGCAGCAGGCTTCATCAGGGTCGGGATCAAACCCACGACCTCCTGACCTCCTGTATACCAGGCGAGGTAGTTAACATCTCCTAGCCACCGCTGTATGAAGGCTTCTCCTCCCTCAATCCACCACCGCAGCCTCTCACGATCCCTGCTGCTGCTGCTGCACACGACCATGAATTCGCAGTCATCGTCATCATCATTGCCTTATGCAGGAGAGACACTCTGAATCCTGTGGCTCTTTTTTCAGGAGGGTCCTGCTGCTGATGATGATACGAACTTGAGGTTTTTATGTTTAGATGTTTTCAGCCATTTAACGATGATGAGTCGTGTTTGTTTATTATTCATGTGGGAGGAGGAGGAAACCGGAGCACCCGGAGGAAACCCCACGCCTCACGCGAGGGGGCAACGCTCTATCCCTGTTCCAAGTCAATGATGGCGATTATGTATTACTTACTTAAACAAACGACGATGATAAAGAAACAGATGGCGATGAGTCCACTTGCTGTACCGTCGTCTGCTGGCGATCCAGGGTATGGCTCGTCCTCCTCGGCGCCCACGGGGAAGGGAGGTTCACCCCATCTGTGTGGTGATCCACCAACCCCCGCTGCTGCCTCTACAGTGCAGGCAGCCACGTGTAGCAGCGTAGTCGCCACCGCTACAACAATACTACGACTTGCGTTGGGGTGTGGGTTTTATTTTCTCGCGGCACGACTGTCCGTTGTGCTTTGCCGGCCTGGGCGGCGTGTTGTTCACGATGTCCGACGGTTCGCGCCGTGTGCTGGTACCTACTTCAGGAGCTGATAGAGGTGCCCAGCCCTGCAATCTCTCCCCTAGGTCAACTCTGCCTCAAAATGGAGTACCCGGTGCGATGTGTGAACACCGCCACCTAGTTTCAGTTTTTCAGTTTCACTTATTAGGTGTAGCCCTGTGAGCGATGCGGCCCTAGACTCGCGCGCAAGCGCAACAAACAAAAACACGAACAAAGAAGCATCTTAAAGTGACGACGAGCAACAGAAACATCCGGGAACAAAAAAAAACCAGAAAAAAAGGCACCGCCTAGCAACGCTGTGCGCAAAAATTCCCCAGTGGGATGTACAGGTGGCCACGCGTGTTCCTGGCCACACCACGTCCGTCACGCACGAGCCGTGCCGTGCCGGCCTTACACGGACGCCACTCGCTCATGCCAACAGTCCCCCACGATCCCGAGAACGCGCGCGGCTGTGTGACCGAGACGGAAGGTCCCACACTAGTCCTCTCTCGCCGGGACAGCCAGGGCGACCAACCAGGAGCGTCAACGACCACAGACTGCCCCGTGACGATCCGATCGTGCTGGGTGGTATTTTTAGGTTGGTGCTTGAGATATCTCTGGCGAGATACGACCCTTCCGATAGCACCAGCGGCAACAGTTGACTCGTGAAGAAGTTGAGAAATGCCCTTTCACGGAAATCAGCCGACAGCACATATGACGTGCAGGCGAGGCGTTTTAAAGGAAGGAGACTCAACACTGATTTTTCAACGCAACGCCATAATCCATTCGGGAGGAAAGGGGTGCCGCTCTTGATCCTGCAGGGAACATTGAACAGGCATGTATTGCCCTCTGTCGATCCACTGCAGAATGAAGGCCACAACTACGCCTTGTCAGACATGGGGGGAGGGGGTGGGGGCGAGGGGTTGGGGGGGGATTTCTTTGCCATACTTCACGTTGGTCAGTGCGGGACGGTGAAGGTTGGAGGGTGGCTCGACCAGCTCACACATCACTCGCCACCGATGTTAGAATTATAATTTCCTTCTTGTAAGGCACACAGTGTTCGCCCTCTCTCGTACAGAGAGAGAGAGAGAGGTGACGACTCAGAGACGTCAGGAGGAGGAACCACAGACGAGGAGCAGGAAGGCAGCAGCAGTTACCACGTGACGTGACCCGTCACTACCAAAGATTGGCCAAGCTCTGCGGTCCACTACATATCACGACGTTTCCCCCCCCCCCCCAGCCAATCATTTAGTGTTTATCCACACGGGAGGAAACCGGAGCACCTGAAGAAACACTCACGCGTGCGAGGGGGCAACGCTCGATCGCACAGAGAAGGCAAGGATGGAGATTAGTCCACACATTTCTGCTGGACCGCCTTCTTCTGGCGAGCCAGAGTACAGGAACCTGTTTGACGCCCACCCACGTCAAGGGTTTGTTCACGAGAGGTGTGCGGAGATCCACCAACCCTCGCTGCTGCTTCCATAGTGCTGGGTGACAGGCCGCCACGTGCAGCAGCGTAGCCACCAGCACCACCACCACCAGCACCACCAGCACCGCCACCACCACCACCACCAGCACCACCAGCACCGCCACCAGCACCACCAGCACCATCAGCACCGCCACCACCACCATCACCATCAGCACCACAAGCACCACCAGCACGGCCACCACCACCACCAGCACCGCCACCACCACCAGCAGCACCGCCACCACCACCACCGCCACCACCACCACCAGCAGCACCGCCACCACCACCACCACCGCCACCGCCGCCACCGCTGCCCCCACCGCCACCACCGCCACCACCACTACCACCGCCACCACCACCACCGCCACCGCCACCACCACCACCACCGCCGCCACCGCTGCCCCCACCACCAACACCAGCGAACCTGCTGGAAGGCCTTGCTTCACCACGCAAGTCGGGTGTGGACGATGGGTTAAGAGTCCGTGGAGCCCAGGACCGGTTTAGAAATCACTCGCCACTGATGGATGTGAGCAGGGGCCGTGAAACCTGTTCATATATTTTTTTTAAAGAAACATTCTCTGATTCTGCTGCTTCTGCTGCTTTGGCAACGGTGCACAAGCACAAATTACATCAACAACAGAAACTCAACCACACTCGCCAACAACACTGTGAACTTAAAATAAATATATATTGGGCGACGTTTTGGGCAATCGCCCTCTTTAATTGCACATCACCACGACATGCTATCGCTATCTGTTATGAATCAGGGCCATTGTCCGAAACGTCGTTTGCATTTTCAGGCGGTTTTATTAAGCCTTAGTGTTAAACTAAGGCAGTATTGTTGACAAGTGTGATTTTATTAGTTGGGGAAAAAAAAGTTCAACATCGCTATGGCTGAAGAATTATGTTGGAGTGTTTGTAGCAGCGCGTGGGATGGCTGCAGCAGGCTCCCACACGCACAGGCACGCTCCCCCCCCTCTCCCTCCCCCCTCTCCCTCCCCCTCTCCATCCCCCCTGTCCCTCCCCCCTCTCAATCCCCTCTCTCCCTCCCCCCTCTCCCTCCCCCCTCTCCCTCCCCTCTCTCCCTCCCCTTTCTCCCTCCCCTCTCTCCATCCCCTCTCTCCATCCCCTCTCTCCCTCCCCACTCTCCCTCCCCCTGTCCCTCCCCCCTGTCCCTCCCCCTCTCCCTGCCCCCTCTCCATCCCCCTGTCCCTCCCCCCTCTCCCTCCCCCCTCTCCCTTCCCCCTCTCCCTCCCCCTCCCCCCATCTCCCTCCCCTCTCTCCCTCCCCCCCTCTCCCTCCCTCCCCCCTCTCCCTCCATCTCCCTCCCCCCTCTCCCTCCATCTCCCTCCCCCCTCTCCCTCCCCCCCTCTCCCTCCCCCCTCTCCCCATCTCCCTCCCCTCTCTCCCTCCCCCTCCCCCCTCTCCCTCCCCCCTCCCCCCTCTCCCTCCCTCCCCTCTCTCCCTCCATCTCCCTCCCCCCCCTCTCCCTCCATCTCCCTCCCCCCTCTCCCTCCCCCCCTCTCCCTCCCCTCTCTCCCCTTTCTCTTCCCCGTCTTCCTCTGCTTCTCGCTTCTCGGCAGCGAACCGCTGGCTCGAGCGAGCACGCCAGCAATCCTTGTATCTTGTTCAAACACCCCACCACAGTCAGCACAATTGTCTCTTAAATGAAAAAAAATAGATGACGATCCGAGCAATGGGCCTTCTTCACGGCAGAGGCGCGAAAGATGAGAGAGTGTACCTCTATGGCCCTATTTGTGCGGCGAATAAGGCTCATTACCTGAAACGTCGCCTATTAAACGTGTTGAATAATTGTGTGGTAATTGTGCCAACGCAGCAGCATCAGCAGCATCACCACATCAAAGAACTAAAACAAAACTAAACTATTTTTTATTTATTTACCAGATGAGGCCCATTGAGCTACAATAGCTCTTTTTCAGAAGCGACCTGGCTACAAATGATTGCTCAACAAAGTTGGCTTCTCACGTGGAATTTTATAGCAGCCAAATGCTCTAAACGCGCGGTGATGTTGAGTCTAAATGTGAAGAGAACAACCGGAGGACCCGGGGGAAAATGCACGCGACCGCGGGGAGAGAGAGAGACACAACTCCACATATACAGGCGAGGTAGCTAACATCTCCTAGCCACCGTGATGATGATGATGATAGAGACACACAAACTCCACATATACAGGCATCAGGGTCAGGATTGAACCCACGACCTCCTGTATACCAGGCGAGGTAGTTAAAATCTCCTAGCCACCGTCATGATGATGAGAGAGACACACAAACTCCACATATACAGCAGGCGTCAAGGGTCGTAATCGAACCCACGACCTCCTG